CCCGGGCAAGCACTCCCCTAATGTGCCGATCGCTAGCGCATCCAGGGCCCGGCGCCCAGCTCCGCTGGAGAGGCCGTCACTGATCTGAGAAGTGCGTCTTCAGTTCGGATAGACTGATTCTGCGAACGCCTCGCCCCAGGCGCTAGATAAGAAAACAAGTGCTCCGTTTCTTTCATTTCAGATCAGTGAAGAAACCGAAATCAGAGACTTTTCTCGCTCTGCGCCGCACTATGCTCCGCTTCCACAAATGAGAGTTTTCGGTGGAACCGGTGAACCACGCGAGCTGGTTAGATGCGTGGGACAGAAGGCTCGTAGTACCTGAGAGCGCTGCTATGCAGTGGAAGGAGCCTAAATCGACCCCCCTTCTTTCTTTTTTCTTTCAAAAAAAAGTACAAAAAGATTGGACTCTCGGATGAGACTAAGCAGCTACCGTTCCGACGCGCCCCTGACCCTATCTTTCTTCAGACCATCTCTAAAGTGGAGCCTAGTTGAAGCTATCATTTCAATCATAGAATAGAAGTTGTTGTTTGTTGTTGTTGTTATTGTACCATTTTACCTATGCATGAAAAAGGTATATTTTACTTTTTAAAATTTAAATGACAGAATTTTTTATGTGAAATGATAAATATAAAAAGTAAAAATTAGATATTAAATATGCAAATACATAGAAATGGGGTGGTATGTATGTGATGGTCGGTCGATGCCCTCGCCGGTGTCTTCATCGTTGTTGTTCTTGTGGAGTCACCAAATATTGTTACCGTCGTATAACCTCTCTCTGAATAACTCTCTCTTTGATCATGTGGATGATCTGAAGAGAGAAGAGATCGAAGGGCTAAGAAATACAATGACGGGAACAAACAAAAAAATATGTGAGGAAACTTTCGTGAGGTAGTCTTCATGTGGATGCTCCAAAGAGTATGTTCGAGGGAAGATCGACTTAAGACACTTTTGAGGCATAATCGCGAAGAAGACCTAACGAAAGCAAACCCACAACCAGAGATTCAGGTTATTGTATCTATTTTGGGATTTGCTTCTTTCTATAAGTGTAAGCCCCTATAGTTAATTACATTTTAAGCAACTGTGGGTTACGTTGATTAAGATTGTAACTTGACTTCAAAATGTTCAAAAGTCGTCGTTTTCAAGGAAGGAGTTTCAAAATCCTATCCTTAGAGTAGGAGATGCTTGCCGACTCAGAAGAGCCCTGTTATGGTCCCAGACTATCCTATGATTTTGTGTTGTTATCAATGATTTAGCTGAGGTTTGCCCTTTGCTCCAGGTTTTAAATGCTCGTCCCTGCAAAACATAGTTAACACGCCCTAATAACATACAAAGTAAATCTCTGGTGATGTTTGACTTTTGTCTTCAGTAGCCCTACAAAACAGAGTTAGCACAAAATATCTATTTATTTGATTGTTTTCTGTCCTCCCAGGGTTATCGGGTTCCCTGGTCTACCTAGTCTGAGAGGCAGTCAAATCTACTATGACCAGAAGATTCCTGTCAGCGACCATGGGTTGTGTTGTTTATGAGATCTTCATAAACCTAGCTAGTGGGGTTCAAGTTACATTCGACGATCTTTGTTCATGAAGGTTTGATTTACGTTTTAATTTTTTTTTTGGATCTTAGGGGTTGAAAATTTTAGTTTTCTTAAGACTTATAACAATATTAGATTTTCTTATGTTTTATTTTTTATGTTTAGAATGACCCGGTCAAGATCCCACGGTTTCATCGTCTCAGGGTCATTGGGGTTTGCGGTTTGATTAGTCACAAGTGACTGGAAGATATTTTGCTAGTAGCCATGGGTTGTCTCCTCCAAAATATCTTCTCAAACCATATTGCATTTCAGGGTTAAGTTTAAGTTTTAGTGGCTTTTTGGGTGGATTTTTTTTATGTCGTGTCTTTTATGTTTGTTGGTTTCTTGGCCCAAGTTATCTCTGATTGAGACTAAGTGTGCTTTTGTTCTCGAATGAGAAGTCAAACACTCTGTAACCTCAATTCACCTAGGTCTGAGTTAAGTTCAGATTAGCCTGACTTAGGTCAGACTGATTTGGAGTGAATTCCTAGCCTATCTGAGCTAGCTCAGGTCTACCTTAATCAACTTCGAGCTAGTTTATGCTAACCAGAGTTCAGCAGCAGGATTGGCCCAATATGGATTAATTTGACTAGGGGTCAAGATAAGCCTTACTGATT